GAAGGAAATATAGACTATCTCTGTGACTCTGGGGCGGGAGTCCTAGAGTGTGCCACAAGGCACAAAGGAATGGGCTATGTCAAAACAGGAAGTTCTGAAGGTGACCCCCAACAAAGTGGACAGGCAGAGAGCATGTCCAGAATGTCCAAGGAGCATCTGCAAATCAACAAGTTAGAGGAACAGACCACAGCCGGTTAAACAAACACTACTGAATAGCTAACAAATACATCAAAAGATGTTCAAATTCACTAAAAAATGACACGAATACCCAGTGAAATGATGCGATCCCACAGCATAGCCCCCCAATACTGGTAAAATTAGAAAGAAGGCTAATAGGAACCCCTGGCGAGAATGTGGGGGATGGGGAACCATCATGCACCCACGTGTGGGGGCTGCGGGGGGGGACACCAGCTCAGCCCACTGGAGAACAACGGGGCGGCACTTAGTATAAACAGGTGCGTCCCTTCTCTTCCACCAGGTCATTCTCCCACGCACGCGCCCTCACATCAGAGGGTCTCAAACTTGCCCAAGTATCGGCATCTCCAGACCAGCAGGGTGAAGCCCCAGTTGATGGTGTCTGCGCCCAGGGGCTTCCGATTCCGGTCTAGGTTGGGGCCTGAGAATCTGCATTCCTAGCTGTGGCCAGGTGATGCTGCCGCTGCTGGGCGTGGCCCCTTGGAGAGCCACCACCCTCGAGACTGTCACCTGCATCTTTTAAAGAATGCAAACAGGATGTTCATCGCGGCTCTGCTGGAGTGGAGGTGAGTGAGCTCGCGTCCCCCACCAGGGCAATGGGCAATAAAACTAGTGGATGCTGGTGGGCCCGGCGTGGGAATGACAGCAAAGCACGAGGCAAGCTGACAGGAACACAGATCTCACGGGCCTCATGGACGAAGTGCTGAATGAAATGCTTCCAGCTTTTGTGAATGTCTGAGCACTGCCATAATAAAGAAGTTTATGTTGAATGAAAAAAGGAACCAAATGAAATCTACAAAGCAAGGTACCGCTCACGTCAGTTGAAGACACTCGCACTAAATAACATCTTCAACAAGGACACACCGGGAGAGGAGGCACCTGTGGCGGGGAGGGGCTGGGAGGAGACAGGAAGGGGAAGAATAAAACGAGAAAGGGGCTTCGCACAGGAGAGGGTCCTGTGCTGACAACGGAGGCCGGCCGGAGGCCGACTCCCAGCCCCAGAAGACAAAGGTGGAAGGCGGGAGAGGGGAGGTCCAAGGGCCCGGGCACTGGCAGTCACACACAATCGTGGCTTCAGGGGACGTCCCCAGTAGTTTCCAAAGTGACTAAGGCCACAAACACCTTTCCCACTCAGAGCGGGGAGGAATCTTTCTGCCACACAAGCTCCTAGAACTCAGCCGGCGACCGAGCCCTGGAGTCCCCTCTCTGGCATGTTAGCAGCTAACCAGAGCTGAGATGTAGGTGTTTGGCAAAGTGTGTGCATGTGTCCACACCTGTGTCTTCTCTCAGCGTGTGTGTGTCTCTGCGGGGGAAGAGGGAGGAGCCTATGTGCAGAGGTCAAAAAGCCACCAGAGACTCAGCCACTCTAGATGAGCGTTCACTTCTGTTCCAATGAAACCAGAACTCAGTTACAAACCCAAGCCTCCTTCTGGACCCACAGGCCTACACCACTCCTGCTTCCTCTTCCCCTTCCCCTCCCCCACCTCCCTGGGCTTCCCAGCTCCCACAGCCCGAGGGTGACAGACTAGCTTAGCAAGTGACAAACTTTGCAGCCACGATTCTGGATAAATGACCCTTTATGCTCCTGACCAAGAGGCTGTCACAGAAAGGCCAGAACCTTCAGGACTAGGCATGCCATTAACAGCTCTTCCAAAAGACACTGGTTATAGCTGCCCTCAAAAAAAGGCAAAGAAACAGCCATCCATAATCTGTCCTGCCCCCGTCAAGGGCACACTGGATGCAGCTCTGTCCAGGGGCCACAGAACAGCTCACCACACGAAGTGCTGGAAAGGTGGAGGGAACACGCAGAGGATAAAAATCAGCACTTGCTGAATTTATGTGAGAAAATGCAAAAGATCCTTCTGGCAGTAGCTTCAAGCAAGCAAGCCCATGCCAGGAATGTATGTCTTTAGGGAAAGAAGAAACAGATGAACAACCGAAGGAAGAAGCAAAGTAAAAAAGCAGCAGAAGTATGAGCTGGCCCAACACTCACGCCTCCCCCAAAAGGCCAATTGCACGAACAATCCAGAAGTTTTAGTCCCCAAACACGGTTTTATCTTTTCTGTAGCAGCACTTTTCATTGGCTAGGAAAGGTTTCAGAATTCTAGGGAGTTTTCCTGAAATGCTTTGTATAAAATAAGTTCATATATAAAATGTATTGGATGTGCCATGGGGGTACATTTTAGTTTTTTAAAAAATGTATGATAGCTGTAGGTAGAAATCCTTTAGATTTTCATAAGATGTGTGAGCAAAGCGTGTGCCTGGTTTTCCAGCTGAATACAGGATCTGCCACAATATGAAAATTAAGGGACTTCACCAGGAAGAAAAAAAAGTAAAAGCATCGAGTTTTCAAGCTAACACGGAATGTCTCTGGTCAAAAAAGGCAATTCTGAATTACGAAAACAAAGTTCTTGGGGTGCCTGAGTGGCTCAGGCAGTTAAGCAGTGGACTCTGGTCAGGTCACAGACTTCGGCTCAGGTCATGATCTCATGGTCCGTGGGTCCAAGCCCCTTGTCTGGCTCTGGGCTAACAGCTCACAGCCTGGAGCCTGCTTGGGATTCTGTGTCTCCCCCTTTCTCTGCCCCTACCCCACGTGCATTCTGTCTCTCACTCTCTCTCTTTCCTAAAGTAAATAAACATTAAAAGAAATAAAAAGGAAACAAAGTTCTTTAAGTGCCAAAACTTAATGACAAGCCTCAGTTACGGTTTTTTTAAATTCCAGCTGACTAAGCATTTTTGGAGCATGGACAAGTCAGGCACTGTGCAAGACGCTTGGGATCCTCCAAGGAATCAGACACTGTGTTAATAACTGCCCCTTTAATGTCAGTTTAATCCATCCCTTAAATTAATTTCTTATAAACAATGCTTATTGATATTTTAAATAGCTAACTAGCAGCACCGAAGGAGTTACAGGAATGCATCTTACCATTTTATTAAAAATGTAGATTTCTAGCCTGAAGCAGAGACAGAAGGAAAAGACTGACTCCCTGCTTTACATATTGCTATCATTTTCTGCAGAACAACTAGCTACTTAAACTGCCAGCGGCGGCCTCCTGCTAAGCCAGCAGGTCACAGAGCTGCAGAGACTGGAACACACCCGACCTAGCTGAAGAGCAACAGTGAAGAAAACCTAGAGATCAGGGCCTCCAGACCCAAACGCAAAGCAAGATAAGGCAAGGTGAGCTGCTCCAGGAGGTTCCCTGGAAGCTGGAGCCTCTGGCCAGAGGGCATGAGCTGCTGCCACCACAGGCTGGCTCCCTGGCTCGGCCATGGCAGGGCTTGGGAGCTGGAAGACTGCCACCTGCTGAATCACCAAACATCCCCGGGCTTCCCTTGGAGCACTGAGCACACAGGGACCCAGCCTCTGCCCAGCTTCTCCAGCAGACATCCTACCCAACCATAAGAAGCGTGGCCCTGTCCCCTCCAGCACAGGCCCACAGGGCTGCCGCCACCCCCCCCCCGCAACTGCTGTTGGGACAGCCTCCCTGGCAACCCCCACCAAGTCGCGACGTCCCCAGCCCCACTCCCCTCTTTCTGCCCAAAGAGTCCTCCCCGCGGGACCTGGATGCGTCGGTGGGGGCAGGGGGCGGCGGGCTGGGGGGCTCACAGCACTGCCTGAAGGGCGCTTGCCGCTCCACAGCCAGGCAGCCACCCAGAAACACCCCTTCATCCGGAAGCAAAGTAACCTGTCACAACAGCTGGAAAGGTCCAGGAAGGGGAATGTCAAGGGAACTAAAAGAGCGGACCGACCCCCCAACACGGAAAACAAACTTCCCTTTCACAAAGCAGCCTTCACTCCTGGTTTCCTCACAGTGCGCCGCTGAAGTCGGCTCTGCTTGAAGGTGAAAAGAAACCTCGGAGCAGCGCCTGCACGGATCCCTTCCACCCCCTCCAGCCACGACTTACACTCGCGCGGCTCCCCGGAGGGAAACAGGCGTTAACCAGAACGCGCCAGCCTGAATCCGTTGGCTGGACCCGGACGCCCAGCCCGCCCCGCCCGCAGCCACAAGCCCCCGCCTGGGTCCTCACGGTGGGAGACACCGCCGCTGCCGTCGCCGCCCTGCCCTAGACCAGCTGCCTCGGGATCGCAGGGACCCCCTCGCTCGCGGGGACAGCCGCGTCCAGGAGGGACTGTCCAGTTCCGGCTGCGCTGATAGCTCCTCCAGGCCTTAGCCAGTCCCCTCGGCCGGCGGGGCCGCCCCCGAACCTGCAGGCAGTTCTGCGGCTTGAGGACGGCACCACGCTCCGCAGGGAGAGGGTCACCCGTTATGCAGTCGGGGGGCACCGAGGGGCCGCGGCGGGGGAGGGGAACCCCGAAACCCTGGGCGCTTGGCCGGCGCTGCGATCAGGGCCCCGAGGTGCCATCTGTCACGCCGCCGCCCGGCCGTGGGGGTGGGGCCGTGATTTGGGGGTCGGCCCTGCGGGTCTCCGGACGCCCGCCGGGTCGCCGGACAAGGCGCCTCGCCCCTAGCCCTTCTGGCCCGCCACCCTCCGCTCGCCCCAACCCGACTCAGGCAGCCTTCCAGCCCGCACGCAGCACTCCCAAACGGCGCCACTGACGCCCCCGCCTTCCTCGCCGCCCCCACCAGGTCCCGGAACACCGCGGGCGGCCCGCCCCTCCGAGACCCGCGCCCACCCCCGGGAGCGGCGGCGCGGGGGGAGTGCCAGCCAGGTGCGCGCGCGGCTCCGCGCGGGCAGCGCTCACGCCCCCTCGCCCTGGGGCCGCCCGCACTCCTCTCCCCGCGTCCTTTCGGCCCCCCACCCAGGATCGCCGCTACCACCCCCGCCCCCGCCCCGCAGCTCACTTGCACTGGAGTCGCGGCCGCCGCCGGAATTCCGCTCGCCTAGCCCCCCGCCGCGCACCAAAATCCGGGGCAGGGCAGCGTCGGGGCTCCGCCGCAGGATCGCGCTCTCCGGCCGGCTCGCGGTGCGCGAGGGGACGGCAGCCTTCCCCAGCCGGCCCTGCCCGCTCCGTCCAGTCCGCGGCCACTGCCGCCGCCTCCGCCGGGCCGCTGCCTCGCTGGTGCGAACGCTTCCGACTTGCCACCGCGAGCCTCCGGGCTGCCGAGCATGCCCAGTCCGCGGCCCGCGCCGGCCCGGCTCTCCGCGCGCCGTAATCCGCTGCTCCGGGTGTTCGCGGCGGCCGGGGGGGCGGGGGGAGCGGGCCGGGAGGGCGGGGTCGGCGGGCTCCTAGCAAGCGCGAGCGGGACCCGGGCCAGACTGTGCCCCGGGGGCCAGCGGGCGTGCGCCCTGAGTTTACTTTCCAGGGATCGGGAAAAGGGCCCGGACTGTGCTTCTTGGGGGTCGCTCGGTGACACTGGAATGGAGCAGAGTTTTAAGGTCGGGCTGGGCACACCGCCTGGGGCGGAGCCAGAGCTGGTCAGACCAGGGAACGCAAACTCGGCCCTACTGCAGGGGGGCTCGGGGTGCAAGAGTTTGTGAGCCACCCGGAGACTCTATCTCCCCGACCCTAATCTGCGACCCGGAGACGAACTCTTGGTTGATCACAAGAAAAGGCGGCTCTTACGCTCCGGCCCCTAGTCACACCTCTGTGCAGGCTCCCGCTCCCCTCGTCGCTGGCCGCTCGCGAGCATCCCGTGAAGCCAGTTAGGGCAAGGAAGGCGCGGGGCGGCCAGCCCCCAGGTGGGGACCTGGATACCAGCCGCCCCGCCCCTAGCCCCGCCCCCGTCGCCGCTCCGAGAGGCCCGGAAAACCCGGACACCGGTCGAGTTTGGACGGGAGCATTGCGCATGCCCAGTAGCCCGACCTGGTGCAGGTCGCCCCCAGAAGGTTTCCCCGGCTCGGAGAGCCCGACCCCCGCGCCCGGGTTAGAGGCGGGCGGTAGGGAGAGGTGGTCTGCGACGCGGGGCCCTCCGTTCTTCGCCGGCCCGCCAGGCACCCCTGTGGCGGACAGGCGCTCGGGGCCGCGCCTGCCGCGGGGTTGGCCCTCAGGGCCAGCGCGGGAGTGGGAGCGCGGCGGCGGCAGTGCCTGGGCACGTGACTGTCCGCGGCGCTGGGGGCAGCCATTTTCCGGCTGGCGGGCGTGAGCTGGGCGCAGTCCTCCCCACCACACCCTCCAGGCCTGGGCTCGGGCCCTGCCTCCGCCCCGCGGGGGAGGGGGGTGCGCCTGAACCGTAGCTCGGCTGCGGGCTCGCGGAGCCGAAAGCGCGCGGCCGGGAAGCGGGGAGTGGGGGTGGGCTGCGGGGGCGCCCGGCCTCTGCCTTCCCGAGGCGGAAGCTGGGGAAGGGGCCCCGGCCCGTAAGGCGGCGGCGGCGGCCCCGCTCGCGAGCCCTGACCTCTGCGGGTGGACGGCCTGGGTGGCGAGCCCCGCCGCGGGCACGCGGGGACCCCCGGGGCCCGTGGGCAGCCGCGTCACCAGCACCCGAGAATCCGTCAGCAGCGCGAGGTGCTGGGCCTCTGGAGCCGAGCCCCCGGGTGCGGCCCCGCAGTCTCGTTAGCCCGCCCTCCCGGGGGTTCCGTGGCGCGTCACCGCTTCCCTTCAGCCCAGCAGGCGGTCCCGCACAAATGAAGCTGGGAGAGCGGCCCCCCAAGAGCTGGGGCGCGGTCGGGCAAGCACCGCGATGCCCCACCTGCCCGACTCTTCTGGCTCCGTCTCCCCCTGGGCGCCGCCCTGCACCTCCCTAGAGGCTGAAAAGTGCCGCTTTCGCGGGCGGCTTTAGGGGAGCAACTGAAATTCAGCCAAACGCCATGCCCTAGTGCCCGCTGAGGGCGCCCCTCCTTGAGTCAGAGCGGGTCCCCCCGCTGGGGACTCTCCTCAGTTGCAACTAAGAGGCGGAGAAGAGGGAGGCCTTGCTTTCTTGTGAGGTCAACGTTTCCAAACTCCAGGAATGCCAGACAGCTGCTGGCTGGTTTCTCACAAGTGCTATCTGTGCAGTATCCCTTGAGCTTTGGATTCCAGGGGGAAAATAAAGAACACGGTTCAACTGAGCATCTTGTGTAGACTGCTGTCAAGGAGTCTTTAAAATGCCCCCTCCGCCCCCCAAAAAAGTTAACTAAGTTTTGCAAGATACTAAGAGTTCTGATGATAAGTGGTTTTTCTAGAGTGTTTGCTCACTTATTTTGTTCCCTAGTGTTCTGTATGTTGGAAATTTTCTTAATAAAAATGTCTCTTTGTAAATTGGTTTCCAAGAGTAATTTTAAGACTGTGTATAAGACATGGGGGAAAGCAAGGTATAAAACTGTTCCTACTTGGGGCACCTGGGTGGCTCAGTCAGTTAACCGTCCACCTTCAGCTCTGATTTGTGGGTTCAAGCCCCGCATCAGGCTCTGTGCAGAGCCTAGAGCTTGAAGTCTGTTTCCTTCTCTCTGTTTCCTTCCCTTCCCCACTCCTACTCTGTCTCTCCCTCTCAAAAATAAACATTAAAAAAAATTTTTTTTAACTATTCCCACTTTATTCCACTTTCAAAAAAATGATTCAGAGAATTTTTTAAAAATCTAAAAAATTGCAAAGGCAATATAATACAAGTAAGTTCTGGGTGGAGTGATGACATTTGAGTTGGCTCTCCCTGAAATTAAATTTAGTTATGGTCTTTACCTGACTACTTTTTGTGACCCCCCCCCCAAAAAAAGGACTTAATAAAAATAATCGTCTTTAGTCCACCAGCCCTCAAGATTTTTTTTCATTTTTTAATCAGAATTGTAACAGGCAACACCTTCTTTGACTGCAATATCTTAGGATTCTCAAGCTTATAAAATGTCATAAAGTACATTGTTATCAAGACAACAAAAATCAAAATGAATCCCTTCGAAGTCACAATCTGTCATTAAAATCGTTTAAAACAATACTAAGGGCAAACACTGGAGAAGACTGTTCTCATGGCAGAACCAAATATTCTGAAGTGGGCGGTTTAGTTCCAGATGAGTGTGACCCTTCTACCTTCAGAAGGTAACGTAGTTGATTAAAAGGTTTGGTCTGATTGGACGATTAAGTAGTAGCCATCACTCACCAAACTGTAGTCCAAGTCAGAGAGTGCTCAAGAAGCAAAGTGCATCCTTGGCAAGAAGTCTGTGTCCATGGCGATTTGTCTCAGCAGGAGCAATCTGCAGCCATAAAGCCTGAGTGCCAAGAATAAGACCTCGTGAGCCCCTCACCCCTTTAAACTCACGTGGCCTTGGGGGCACCTGTGTGGCTCATTTGGTGAAGTGACACTCTTGGTTTCTACTTAGGTCATGATATGCAGTCTGGTGAGATCCAGTCAAGCTCCACAGCAAGGCTCTGTGCTGAGCAGAGAGCCTTGGGATTCTGTCTCCCTCTCTCTCTGCCCCTCCCCCACCCCTGCTTTCTGAAAAATAAATAAACGTTAAAAAAAAAAAAGTCCTTAAACCCATATGGCCACCTACAATCTGGTTTCCAAACCAAGGCTAACAGGAAAGGCCAGCTTCAGACGACAGAGCTGATGCCAAGGTTTTGTCCCTTGGGGCTTAGATCTGAGAAGCCTCAATCCTGTGTTCCCATTAACTCAACCCTGCTAGGACTCCTGGACTCAGTGAAGACTTAGGTTCTGCGATTGGTCAACAAACAACTGGATTTTATTTGCATCTGAGACTTGGCACAGATGGAACCAGGAATCCGGTTATAACAGGAATCAGCGAGTCTCCCTTGGGTTCATTCTGTCCCCTTACCCCTTTTCTGCCTTCTTCTGTTCACCCATCAGGAAGTGACCACTTGAGAGCTCCCAAGTTCCTTTCTCTTCCAGAAAGTAGAAAGAATGACCCCACCTAGGGTCACTAACCCTTTTTGTCTAGTTGAATCCTATTACCCCAGATTCCTGTTGGCCACTTGAACCAGTCCTATTCATGTTTCAAGGCTCCTCCCCAATTTCACCTTTTTCATAAAAGCTTGTTTTCCAGGACAGAGAAGCTTCCTGTATGCACGTTTTGGCACATGTATATGTTAGATTATGACTGTTACAGTTCTCTGAATGTTTCTTACTGGTAAGTCTTGAGTCTCCAACTTACATAGTAAATGACATATCAAGGATATATAGTTATATTTCATCCTCTTGGTATCTAGCACAGGACTCCGCACCACGTAGCCCACAGTAAGTGTTTACTGCACTGTAATCTATACTCTTTCCCCCTTCTACTTTTCTGTTGTTGCATTTTTGTTTAAAAAGGGTAAACTCCTAGGAATGGAGATGTCTTTGCAGTGCTGTCCTTCTCTGATTAGCAACCACCCTTCAAATCTGCTGTGTACATTTAAAAAGGATTTTGAAATTCAGCATTTATGACTGGACGCTAATTAGCGTCTGAGGAATCAGTGCAGGCAGCAGAACACTGTGGCACCGGCTGACAGGCCCAGCTCATTGTCAGGAAATACGACGTGCTCTTCAGATGGTCAGTGTGGGGCTCCAGGCTTCATCATCACCTCTTAAAGCAGGAATAACATGACCCATCTCCTCATTGCTCCCCCATGAGTCCCATGGGAATTAGTTTGTGCTTTAATAAGAATGTATGTCTATTAAATGCTTTATAGTTAATAAGAGGTAAACAATGAAAAACATGAGATGTTGTCTAGATGTTACAAATGTTCATTGCTGGATTTAGCAATCGGCAAGGATCCCAGTAACAGCTATCATACACCAAATAACAAGTACATGCCTGGTCAGTGTCTCCTCTGACGACCAGTTACAGATGAGTCCTCGATGGCCAGAACAATTTGAGGATCAAGACAAAATTATGTCTCCCGCACTGAAGAAGGGGAGATTTAGGGAGGTTGATCACCTGAATTTCAAAGATTCTGCCTGAAGTCTTCAAAGGTATCAAATCTAGGCCATGCTAGGGAAGACAGCAGCCACTGAGGACAGGCATTTTTTTTCTAGAACCTCAACAGCAGTGCCCAGTACCTTTACAGTACAGCAAGTAGGAGACATCCTCTCTGCCAAACTGACACCCAGGAAAACTACTAGGACATTCCAGGACGTGGCTGGAGAAATCTGACATGAGAGCTGCTAAGTCCTGCACGGTCAGATCTAGACCAGGGTTTCTCAACCTCAGCTCTGCGAATATTTTGGGCCAGATGTTTATTTACTTTGAGAGA